GTGGGGGTTATAGTGTTAGGGGGTGCTTGTCACTGCTGTCTGGTCCAAGTTGTGCTCAATACTGGTAGGGTGATGGTCCTGAGTGCTGGTCACACTGAGGTAGGATAGTAGGGATAGGGGGTGCGCTGGGAGCATTAACGTGGTGGCCTATCCTGTCAGGACAACCACCGGCTGCCGCTGCCAGCGATCACCGTGGGTCTAGTCCTTGGCCTCAACAACTGCATTCGCCTCAACAACACCATTCACCTCAACAACACCATTGGCCTCAACAACACCCTGGGCTTAAAAAAAAAAAAAAAAAAAAAAAAGAAGAAGAAGAAGATGCGCTACGGCCAACCGGGGGGAACCGGCTGGTAGGACCGGTCCAGTTCCGGTTGGGGGAGGGCCCCCCGGTCCTACCGGGTTTTCAGCACTGGGTCCGAAGTGTTAGCTCTCTTTGGTGGTATAGTTGTTCAGTGCTCTTGATGCCACCAGGCTGCTGGAGCAGAGCCGTAGCTGAGCAGCTGCTGCTAGGGTTTGAGCAGCAGTGAAGCAGGTGCTTCATCTGCCGGGTCTGCCGGCACCATATCTGCGTTGTGGGGTAAGGCGCTGCCATATCTTCTTCTTCGAGGCAGCTGCTCTTCTTCTTCTTCAAGCTGGAGGTCCCTTGTTCATTCTGAAGCTGGAGCTGCATATTCAGCATCATTATGTAGAAAATCAGTAACATCAGTCATGGCACGGACCATGATGCCGTTGTCCCATAGCTCCCAGTGGCCAGAGGCATGTACAATGGCCAGGCAATGGCCATGTATATAGTCACAGAGAACTACCCGGTGAAACGGGGAAAGGGATAAGAAATGGCACCCTCTACATGAGGCTGAACCCGTTACAGTCTGCAGCATCCCCTCATCCAGCGCAAGGTCTGACACCTCAAATTCTGGATGCGCAAAACGAAAACGGGGTCACCGATTGAATTTATCAACGGCGGGCCAAGCGTTTGACGTTTCGGCCTCGTTTTCTTGTGGCTACAAGTTCGGACTGCAAGGCTGGGGCCGTGTACTTGTGGTTTAAACCCCACTTGCGGTTGAGCATCAACCACTGGCCCACAACAGATAACCCTCCTCTGAGGAGGGCACCAACCGCTACCCTCAAGGGCAGCTATGAGAAAATGAAAGCAGACTATCACCCACCCAAACTAGACCTCCAGCAAAACCCCCACAAAAGAAGAAAGGTCTGCCACAGCCGGAAAAAGACACTCCGCACACACAGCCGGCACTAGAGGCACGTCATGGCCACGTAGTCATGGTCTCAGTCACTAACGCTTAACCTGACTGGAGGGAACTGTTGGCAGAAAGGGAGAAAAGAACGAGAAACAGGGGGCTGTGACAGACCGTCTCGTCGGAGTTTCAACGACTCGTCAGGACGCTGAACCCTCTACAGTCTGCAGACTGCCCTAACTGACAATACTGTACCTGGGGCCTGGGCCCACTAGCAGGTGCAAGGAACCTGACTGTTCACAGCTTGCTGGAGTGTTACACATCGCATGCTTAGATGTCATCACACAGATAAAGAAGCTTCACACAAAACCAAGTCGAAATGAGATGAGAACCAGATAGCGCAGCTCATATTATCAATTCACATTATATTAAGAGTATCTCGAGTTCAAGAGTTCAGCGACAACAGATCACAAGTCTTCTTCAATCAATCGCCAACATAGGGCCTGGCTCAGCCAGCGTATGCCCCAGATCACAGGTATGGCGCCAGCAGGTAAGCATCCACCATATCCAACTTAGGAACCTGTCCTCCCTCTCTCTTCTCTCTCAAGATGTCTATTCTCATTCTCTCGTCTCATCAAGCATGCACACTCCCTACATTTGAGAATCTACTCTGAATGCTACTCACTGATATCCTACCACTAACCCTTCTACTACTAACAAAGCTGGCGCAGCTATGGCTTCTTCTGCTAGCCAGCGCCCAGCACTTCTCCTTCCTGGCGCAGCTTTCAGCCAGCGTATTCTTCCCTGCACTCTAGCGCACAAGTGCCACAGCACTTCCACGCATCAATGCCAATGGGAATCTGTCCTGTAGGGAGGCTAGCTTGATCTCTTATAGTGCTGGCCTCCCTTCGTGAGGGCTGAATCATTCTTCCTTGGATCTTTTCCCAGTCCCAGACCACTGCAGAATGTGTCCCAGTACCTTTCCCTCAGGGTCTGCTGCTGCTACGGCCTTTAGGCCTGAATTTCGGACTTCCAGACTGTATCTAGACTCCCTCTTGACTTGGATCTAGACTGGGACCTTGTCTCTTTGACTTCTTTATGAACAGACACATCTATTGCACGAACAGACACATTTACTGCCCGAACAGACACATTCACTGCACGAAGAGACATGACTCGCACAGCCCCCTGGACGAACAGACGTGACTCTCACAATTGAATGCTGCAACTGTTCGTCCTGGGGCACGATTGTGAGCTTTGACACAATTCCTCACTTAAGTTACGATGTGACTTTTGACCCAGAGAACATCTCTTTTGATCTGCTTTTCACGAATTGAGTTCTGGTGGAGTGGGCCCCATTATGCTGCGTTCGTAATTCAGGGTCTGAACGGGTAAAGGCCCTTTTACAGGGGTTAGAAATGTACTACAGTGTGACACGTGTGATCAATGTTAAAAACAATTAAGAAAAGTTGACGAAAAGAAATCTTAAGAAAAGTCTCTTAACACTGGTGATGCCCACACAATCAATCGATTTCCCGCCCAAACACCTGCAGTGTTTGTTTCTAGCCTACGAAGCATTAGGCCTCGTTTACTTCCTTTCGTTGCTTGTGTCTGTGAAGAAAGCTGTGGTTGGTCTGTCAATTGTCAGATCACGTCTCTCTTTACTTTTTCTCTCTTCATGCAAATTTCATATAGCAGCAGGGTCGCATCCCAGCCG